TTTTTTTTGGCAGAATCGGGGATTGAACTCAGGCCATTGTGCTTGCCGGGGAAGCACTTATTCCACTGAGCCATTTCCCCGGCTCCTCGAGAAGAATGTATTCTGATGTCCTATGGTGGAACATCCTTAGACATCTACCTAGTCCATTTGTTCAGTCAGCTTGCCTGGCTTGTGTCATTTCTGTTGGTATTGAGTTCTAATATCATTCTGATATCATCTAATAAGATGCCAGTCATTATGTCAGGTTTTTTTTTTTATCATTGTTACATCTGTTTTTTGACCTAAAATATGATCTTTTTTGGAGAAAGACATATGAACTGCTTAATAGTATGTGTGTTGTGCTATTGTTGAACTGCCACCAGGTAAATATCTGTTAAATCCAATTGATCCACAGTAATAGTTTAACTGTTTCATTTATAATTTTTAACTAGATGACCTGTTTACTTGAATGATAACTCTAATTCTTTTAGAATAAATTTCAGTATAGTTCTGATGAAATCAGATCCTACAGGACCAAAGTTTGTAGGACTGTGGAGGAGATTTGTCATTTAGTTATACGTGAAGCACGAGTGTTCCCGTTCTGAGGTTTACTCATTCACTTCTCTCACTGTTTTGTTACCAGCTATGTAAACACTGTCACTCTTGGAGTCAGGTGTTCTGGGTCCTACTGCCTGTGAGTGCAGGGTCTTGAATGGAAGGAACCTGCCTCTATAACTTGACAGCAGAGAAACAATAGAGAACCTGCCTACATTTCAAGTCTTCTGAGATCTTTTGCCTTAGCTCTACCTGGGAAGCCCTGAAATGTAGAGCATTGCTACTGATGGACAGAAGAGCTTGTTTCCTCTTGGAGAGAATACATTCAGAGGCAAATTCAGAGGAAAACAAACTGCATAGATCACTATGCTTGTTATTCATTGAGTGTTTTTGACTTGCTAAAAGCAAGTTTAATGTATTTATACAATTTATAAAGATGTAACTGTTTCTAGAGCTCTGCTCTTTACAGGGAACGTATTTCATGTTATTGTAAGCACTGAAGAAAATTAAATCAATAAATCCACAGCCTGTAATTTGAGATACTCAATTGGAAGAAAAATATATTGTCAGAGTGGAGGGGAAAAATCTTTTAAATTGAGGAAGGCTTGTAAACAACCTGTGTTGGCTCTACTATCCCATACACTCAGGTGACAATAAGAATTACCCTTCTGCAGGAAGGTTAGAGAAGTGTCCTTGTGACACCAGCCAAGAGCAAAGGCCAACTGCCTACCTTTTAAAATGAAGCATTTGCTACAGAGCAAAGCAGTTCAGCTGAACTCTTTCCCTGCCCAACTTGCTGAACTGTCCATGCGTGTGCTTTTCCTGGAGAAAGGTTCACTGATTGGCAATCAGGCTGGGTGTCCCAAAGCTCAGTGAATTTTTTTTCTCTCACTGACACTGATGTTTTGTGACCACAAGCAAGCCAATTAACCTCTCTACAAGTCACCTTTTCATGTATAGAAGGTTAACAGTGCAGCTTGTTTGGAAAGTGCCTCCAGCCCTCCATGAAGGGTACTACCAAAAGAGCCAGGACTGCTGTTGGAGAAGAGGGTGCTATAGCTTTTATTTATATGTTTGGTTGGGTAGGTTGTAGACTTTGTTGTAGATGATTGTTGTCTTTCTCCCTGGTTATAAATAAAAAGACTAATAGCTAATCTCACTCTATTACCATCTTCTCAAGCTGCCCAGAGGTGTAAGGCAATAGCAGAGGTTGTAGATTAATAATGCATTGTCTAGTTAATAAAAAAAATCATATTCATCTCAACTGCATAATAACTGTAGGTGACAATTCATTAGATTGTGTGTTTCATTAAATGCTAAACAGATAATCCTGGCAAGACTTATGAAATGATCAGGAGTTTGTTTTCCCCTGTTCCCTTAGCAATTTTCTTCATTCTTCACATCAATATAGAACATTAAGAACAGTTTTGTGGTGGTGTGCTTCAAATGTGTTTATGAATTATGAAAAATTGATTGTCTTAGTCTAGAACTCCTGAAAAAGTGGCTTGTTTGTCTGGACCTATTTGTGACATTAAACTCATTGTTTCATTTAGTCCAGATGTGAGTGCTACCAACCATAGAACACAGTGTCACAGATTTCAAACTTCTTTGCAGATTTACGGAAAAACTTTGAACAAGATCCACAAGGAAGAGAGGTTCCTATCGAGGGCATGATTGTGCTGCACTGCCGCCCACCGGAGGGAGTCCCTGCTGCAGAGGTAAGACAGACTGGGCCCTCAGCTGTGAGGACCCAGGCATGTGCATAAGAGGCAGGTCAGAGCACTGTGCAGCGGCATGGAGTGGCAGTGGGTCTGCCTGTAGTGTTGTTGCTGCTTAACATTCTTGCTGATTGCTAGAAATGATGAAATTATTGTAAAAGGGAAGTGAGAGAAAGAATTATGTGTCATCTAATTTCTTGACAAACTCCTGTGTGGCTTCCTGGGAAGCATTGTATCTGTGATCTGGTGCCTGGCGACTTCTCCTTCTACAAGTGCCATCACCTGAAGGCCCAGCCAGGCTTATGGTCTAGTCACTGGCTTGTGGGCTTGTTCAGCATCATCTGGCGATCTAGCATGAAGGTGTGTATAGGGAAAGCAGCACGTGTGCAGCACTGAGTGTCCCTGCTGGCCAAGTCATTCTTCATCCGTTATGGGACACCATCTGAGCATCTGTTATGGCATAAGCACTGGGCTGGTGTAGGATATAAAGTGTGACTAAAGCACAGGTCACTCATTGGCTGTCCTTCCTTCACAGTGAGGCTCCCGCCTCCAGGATCACCATGATGATTTCTGCTCCTGGCATGTCTCCTTGAACTTTCTTGTTCCACACTACTAAGACATGATTGTAATGAATCATGTAATGTGGTAGTAGCAAAGTCTTTCTAGATAATTTTAGTTACTCTCGTGGTTTAGAGTTTTTACAAGAGAAACCATACAATATAGGAAATATATTACAAGACTATTTTGTAGTTGCCCAAAGAATCATATACAAGAGTGTAGGAAATCTGTCCACACACTAAAGAGCAAAGAATCCTGGTGAGGATGTGAATCCCATGATGATGCCCTGCATGATTCTAGCTGAAGATGTAGGGCCCATCACAATGCCTTTCACAAGTTCAACTGGAGGTCTAGAGCTAACACCAAAGTCTCACGCAGGCCCAGTTTATGGGTTTGTGCTGCAAAAGTGCACAGGTCAGTGGTGGAAGCTAGAGAGTACATTCCAACAGGATGAAGGATCTGTGCTAGCAGCCACAGGGATATGAACTAGAGCTAGGGAGCAATACCAAGGTAACAATGTGAGCTCCCCCAAATGTACCACAGCCATCCTCAGAAGCAGGAGGTCCTGAGCTCCTCAAGCAACAGGGAAGCTGAGGTCCATCGGGAAAACCAAGAGGACAAGCTTTCCCAGGAGGCTGAACAGTGCATCGTCTTCCTCTCTGAAGCCAGGAAGTCATGCTCAAGATGAGGTCCAGAGCTCCCCCAAAATGAACTGTACCCATTTTCAGTGATAACAAGGTCCCTCACTCCTCCTCCGACAGGAACAACCAACTTCACCAGGAAAGCCAGCATGACAAAGTCCTCCAGCAGAATAGAGAAAGAGCCAGTAGCTTCCCACAGCTCCAACAGCATCTCCAAACAGCTTCTCCAACAGCCTCTGGATTGCTTCTCCAGTTCTGCCTCTTATGCTGCTGGCAGCAATATTCAGATGGGCCTCCCACACCCAGAACCAGGCTAGTTCAATTCAGCTGGTTATAACAAGTTGACCACCAGTGAGCTATCCACTACAGTTGCTTTAAAAGGTGTTGTCTACTGGTATTGTAGTTACAGTCAAAGGAAAGGCAAAAAATTGAGTAGAATGAATGGAATTAAAAAAATTATATAAATCTGTAGGCTTTGGCCTTAGTTTAGCAAAACATAGTCATGTTGGAAAGCTAGGAAACTGTCTTTGTAGCTACATTTATCCACTATGAAGCAAAGATATATTTTTTTAAGAAAAAGATAAAAAAAGAAGGGTCAGACAAATAGTTCAGTGGATTAAAGCACCTGCTTAGGCAGATTCAGGGTCCATGAGTTCCATCCCCTGGCCTGCCGTGCTGTCCCCATCTGAGATGGCAATTGAGACTGGGCATGGTGGTGCCTGCCTATAATCCCAAGCACTTGGGAGGCTATCACTATAAGTGAGGAGCACAGGAGGATCACTATAAGTCTGATATACGCAGGTCTGTACACCCTGTACACTCTGTCCTAAATACAAAAAAGGAAAGGAAAGGAAAAGGTTAAAAAAAGAGACTTTGTCTTATATTTTAGCTAAAACAGAGATGAAATATTGTAATTGAAAGGACAAAGGAGGAGCAAGGCAAATGCAGAAATATACACTTCCACCCTCAGAGAGAAATCATGCTGGGTGGACACTATTCAAAGCTCAAATGGTTCACAGAAATGAAGTAAACGGACTTGAAAATTAAAGTGAACACTCCATGCATGGTATAAAATGATTAGAAAAAGAAACGCTTATTTTTAGATTTTTAGTGTGAAACATAAAGATACTGATCTTGTTTGGCTGCCTCTTGCTCACGAGGAAGAGCGTGCCCTTGCTTCCAGAGCACGCGTTAGTACACGCAGAGGGGTGCCGATCTCCTCCAGTCTGGGGCACGCCAGCATGGGATTCGACCTGCTGCATCAGCAACTGCCTGCTGTCACTGCTGTCTCTCAGAATCTCAAAACGTCGGTGGTTTACGGACAACAGTGCTCAGCCTCTGTCATACGGGCCACATGAAATGGTCTCTTGTCCATGCATGTGACCCCTCATCAGGTCTGTGCCGGGACATGCAGGCCATGTTTGCAGCCACACAGAGCAGAAAATGATGACAATACTTGCTGTAAGCAGTCTGCTCATGGGAGCCCGACACACTCTGGAGGTCTAGGAGTGCATTTCTACAGCTCAGATACGTAGGTGGACCAACGTTTGTATTTTCAGCCGTGAAAACTGATGCTTGGATCAAATGACCTGTACCCTCCAGCACCCAGGATACAGGTTCATTTTCCTTTAGTACCTTACAAGGCCCAGCACAGTCTGCTTGCGTTGTGCTTCACTTCTGCTCCCTTATACCTGAGCCTGCAGCAGCAACACACCCTTTCTCATTCTTTCGGCTGCACCAGCACTTCTGCTACCTCAAGTCCTTTGCACATGCTGACTGCTACTGGAACTTTCTTCACTGGTTGCCCCATGCTTTGCCATTCACACTTCAGGACTTGCTCAAATATCACTTGTTCAAAATGTCACTTTCTGGGCTGGCAAGATAGCTCAGTGGATTAAGCTTCTATTTAGGGAAGTGCAAGGACTGGGGTTCAATCCCTAGCACCACATGCCCTATTGGCCCTGCCCTAGGGTGTGCTGAATCAGTGGCTGAGACTGGGTGTGGTGGTGAAGACCTGTAATTCTGACACTGGGAAGACTGAAAACAGGAGGATCTTTATGAGTCTGAGCTGTGTAGTGAGACTCTGTAGACCCTGTCCTGATACATGAATGAATGAATGAATGAATGAATGAGAGAAAGAAAGAAAGAAAGAAAGAAAGAAAGAAAGAAAGAAAGAAAGAAAGAAAGAAAGATGTCACTTTCCTATTCCACACCTTTTTTAATGTATTTAGTACAGGGTCTACAGAATCATACTACACAGATAGGACTTGTAGTGAGCCTCCTGTTTTCATCCTCCCAAGTACTGGGATTACAGGGGCACACCATCACACCCAGTCTCAAGCTCCACCTCACCATGCCCCAGGAATGGGGCCGGCACAGCAGGCAGAGGATTGAATCTGGGTCCCTGTGTCTGCCTAAGCAGGTGCTTTAATTTGCTGAGCTATCTGGTTGGCCCCACCTATAGTTATTTTTAAATTAATTTTATTGGTATATTTTATTTATACATAATAATCACATTCATTATAGGGAATTTGTAATGGTACATGATGCATCTTTCTTCTTTTCTCCCCTATTTTCCTCCCCTCCCTTGATCCTCACTTCCCCTTCTTATGTAGAAAAACTTTGTTTCCTTTTTTCCTCCTTTTTCCTACCTTTGTTTATGCCTTCCATATTTCTTCTCATTTGAACATTTTATTTCCTATTTCACACTCTCTAATATCTATTTTGGTCCTTATTTACATTTTTGGTTTCTCATACCAATGAAACTATGCAATATTTCAATAGGTATATCCAGTTATTTCATTGAAGAGTATGGTCTCAAGGTTCCTTTTACCTAGAAGTGTTTTAAGCTTATCCTTCTTTATGGCAGAGCAGTATTCCATTTTATGTAAACACACACATGCATGCATGCACACATGCATGCACACATGCATGCATACACACACGCACATGCACAGCTTGTTTATCCATTCCTTGGTTGATGGGCATTTGTGATATTTCTAAAATTCAGCTATTACAAACTGTGCTGCTATAAACATGTGTGTATATATCACTAAAGCATGATTATTTTAATTCTTTTTAAAACCTACCAAGAAGGGGAATAGCTGGGTCAAATGTATCTTTTTCTAGTTTTTTGAGGAATCTCCACCCTGATTTCCAAAGTGGTTGCACAAATCTGTATTCCTACCAACAGTGGAGAATGGTTTTATTTGTTCCATAGCATGTGCAGAATTTCTTATTGTTGATTTTTGGATGATAGCCATTCTTTATGGAGTGATGGAATCTCAGGATTGTTTTAGTTGACATCTCTCAGATAACTAGATGTGACACATGTTTTCATATATTTATTTTTTAATCTGTAATTCTTCATGTGAGAGCCATGTATTCATGTCAGGTGCTCATTTTTCGATTGGGTCTTCAAATTTGGGGGAGGCTGATATTTTTGTCTTCCTTATATATTCTAGGGATTAGTCTTTTGTCTGAGGAGGAGCTGCACTATTTTTTACCACTGTGTATATTGTTTGTTCACTTTTTGTTTCTTTCCTTGTACAAAATCTTTTTAATAAGATGAGATCCCAATTGTTTATTCTTTGTGATAGTTCCTCTGTGATTGGACTGTTGTTTTTAAAGTTTTTGCCTACAGTAATGTCTTCAAGAGCTCTACCTATTTCCTTTTCCAGAAGATTTACTGTTTATGTTTTAATATTTAGATCTTAGATCCATTTATGTTTTAATTTAGGGCATGGTGATAAGTATGGGTATAGTTTTAATCTTTGGCATGTGGAAGCTCTGTTTTTCTAT